TAAGGGTGACTCGAATAATGGTAAATAAGTAGAGCGAGAGACAACACACCAGCAAACGCATAATAGAAAAGATCGCAGGAAAACACAATAAACGCAGTAGGAATACCAATTCATTCAGAAACAAAAAGAGCACTAGAGAGTACATTTCTCAGCAAAAGTTAAAATTACAACAACTTCAAGATGCAACATTATCGGGATCCTGTGAGGTCTGCTCAACATTGACATTGTCACTAGGAGTTTGCTCCGGAGGTGGCTCGAGCTGCTGCTGTGGTGGCTCAATTGGCTGGCTTGAGCCAGAAATCGACCCAGTCCCATCGAACAACTGGTTTTGACGAGCAGTGGGAGGAATATAACTGTCAGGCAGCTTGAAGTTGCACCTCAGCATGACGCCATGATTTACGACGAGCTCGAGGAGGCCCGACCACCAGTCGTGGTCGACAGGCAAATCGAGAGCGCTTTGGTAACCGGCGAGAACCTTAGGCATAGCATCCCAAATAGCCTCCATATTGAACTCCTCAAAGTCGTCTTCGGCTATCTGGGCTCCCGCCTGCTGCATGATAGCCCGAAGCAGTCGGTGCCATATGCCTGCACATCCTTCAGATATTGTGGCGATTGCTTGAAGGCAGTCACCACTTGCTCGCGATATCCTTGCAGGAAGTGCTGGCCAGCAGTGGTGTGAAAGACCATCCTCCGCACCCGAAGAGCAGCCTCATCAATTAGAGGCTTAGCCCTTTGCTCGAAAGCAGCGTTCTCACGCGCTCGAGCCGTCTTTTCCTCCTCGAGTGCAGCCTCAAAGGTTTTCTGTTTAAACCCCTCGGCCTCTAGTACAGCCTTGAGGGCCTCCTTCTCCGCTCGCTCAGCCGCGAGCGCCTCCTCGAAGGATTTGAGGGACCCCTCGAGCGTCTTCTTCTCTGATCGGAGAACCCTGGCTTTAGCAGCCTCTCCCTTCACCCTGTCCCGAAACTCCTGATTCCGCAAAACAAGCTCGTCTCTCTTGTTCCGAAGAAGGTGTGACCCCTGTTCAATCGCAGGGATGGATAGGCTCGAGCTGGAGAGGGTTTGCTCGATTATCGGAGCAAGCTCGACCATCCCCTATAGGTTATAACAAAGGAAAAAGTTAACACAAAAACAATGGGAAAAGAGCGAGAAGTAAAGAAATAATCACGAAATTATAACAGTTACCTGCGCCAGCCAGCGAGCGATGCGATCACCTCGGTCACGAAGAGTATGACCGTCATCAAGGTGGTCGGTAGGAAGGTCGACAGAGGGAAGAACTTCCCTAAGAAAGGATGACACCCCCATACCATCAAACTTAGTTAGTGAGAGGGTGGAGGAGAGTGTGATGATGGCGGTATCTTCGAGGCGAGAGCGCTTGTTAGCCCCTTCATTCTTTTCGATGAATGGACGCTTTAGCTGAGCTTTCTTGGCTAATTTGCCCTCAGGGGAAGCAGGTATGTGTATAACTGGAGTGGCCGAGCCGGCAGGTGGAGAAGACGGTTGAGGAGATGGTTGAGGAGACGTAGGTCGTTCGAGTTGTGTAAACTGCTTAGGTTGCTTGTCAACAAGGATGTTGGTCGAGGAGGGTTCCTCAACGATTGGTTCAGCAAGAGGTGGAGGACAAGGATTGACCTCCATGGAGGAAGTTGTTCGCTCGGGCGGAGGTGAAGCAAAACGAGTGGATTGGGAGGTGATCGAATCTACGGGCTTTAAGCTCGACCCCTCAACAGTCTTCTTTTTCAGAGGAATTTTCCTCTTGGGCAGAGGGATGGTAGGCATCTCTGCAAAAAACTCGCGCAGCTAAGTTAACACTGCGGTAGAAGAATCATGCGCAAGAACATTAACAAATGTAATGCTCGAAAACACTTAACAATAAATACCTGGGTCACCCTCGAACCGGATAAGATCGAAAGTTTCTTGAGTAGGGGAAGAAAAAGACTTATGGGTAAGGAGACCACAAAAATGCAAGAGGTTATTATCCTCGAGCAGAGTTTTTTACGCAACGGGCTTACGGTTTCACACAGCAATCCGTTGGTCGAAAAGGGCGTTTTGAGAGGGTGTCGCATACTCGCGCTTGAGTTCCTTAAGCCACGGAGTCGGCGCCCAAGGAAAAGCGGGGTTGGGTTCGACAAAAGCTAATTTGTCCTTCCACTTGGGAACGTTCGAAGGGGTGTCCGAGATAAAGTGGACATCATTGCGACTCTTGAGGTAGAGCCATTGAGAATGTTTCGACGGTGTATAGCAATGATGGAAAAAGTCTAGGTCGAGTCGACCTAGACGGAGGTGGCAGCGGTTATAAAGCAGATAGCATTAGGAGGGAGCTGGTTCAAGGGAAGGTCAATCCACTTGCAAAGATCGAGCAAGTCTTGGCACAAAGGAAAACGGACACCAAGTTTAAATTGTACCTCGAAAAAGGTATAACAGTTCTGTGGAGGGTTATCATAAGTATCCTGAGGACCAGGGGATACAAAGGTCCAGCTAGCGGGATGGCCGACCTCATCGGCATCCAACCAACCGGCTATGAGAGTACGGGAAGAAGTTTGTCTCGAGGAGGAGGTTTTAGTTAATTTTCTTTTCTGGCCAGGCTCGGGAGAAAGGATAGTAGTAGCAGCAGATTTGGTCTTAGAAGCAGCGACAGTCGAGTATTTTACTTTGGATCGGAAAGGAGCACTTTGCTTAGGGTTACTCGAAGAAGCGGTTTTGGAAAAGACGGAATGGTGAGAGAAGGGAACATCATCTTCATCCTTCTCGGCGGCGGCCTCAACAGCATCAAGAGCCTATTCAGCGACGTCAGAAGCCCCAAACGCCAGTCGGCGGCGAGTGAGGGGAACGGGATTATAGATTTCTTCAACAGAGCGGGAAGGCGAGTGATGAACAGGTCGATGAAGTGGGGATTGCGATGTGGCAGTCGTATCTGCGCCGGAGTGATGCTCTGTTCGTTAGAAGCGGCGGAATCTAAAAACTAAAAGAGAAAAAAGGGGGGAAGAGGAAAAAGGAGAGAGAGAGGTTAGGGCTGTTGAAGGTGGAAAAAGAACCCCTTTTTTGCAGGCAAAACAAGAATGTTTTGGAAGAGAAGAATCGATAGAGGAAATAAAAAATTGACAAAACAAAGACACGCAAAAACAAAATTAAAAGTGTGGGACTCATGGTTGCAGTGAAGAAACTCGTTGGAGAACCTGGTAATAATGAAGCCAAAAGCGCCGAGAGCAGAAGATTGTACTTTGCAGAAGATAAATTTAGGGCACAAGTATGTTGAGAATTGCAAAGGTGAGAAAAGCTGAAAAATTTACTAAGTACCGTATTTATAGGAGCATAGGGGAATAAGGTGAAGAGTTAGTGGAGATAGCCGTTAGATAAAAGGGAGATCTAACGGTTGGGAGCATTTAAAGGGCGTGGATAGCGAGGCGGCACAAATCGCGAGAAGACGCGAAGATTAAAAGTACTGAACAGATGGGACGAGTGGCAGATGAGAACCGCATTAATAATAAAGGTAGAGGAGAGGCAGTCGAAAATCCACCATAAAACCAGTCAAATGGTCGAAAGATAAGATCAAATCCAGTCAGAAGGTTGAAAAGCCAGCAGATCGAAGAGGCAGATACAAGCTCACTCTTAGATCGAGTCATTCAGACTCGACTAGAGTGGGGGGGGACTAGATGATATGGGATATTATATGCCCAAGGAATATTCCGGTTCACTGAGCTGGTCGTACAAGCCCAATATTAGAAATGCTATATCAATCGAGCAATAGCAAGCTAAAAGGAAGTGGTCGAGCATCGGAGAGGACTTGGTCGAAGATCGACCTGCCAGAGGAAAACTCATTTAATCGACCACTCGACGAGTGGAGAGCAATCAGGGGCGTGGTTTGAACGCGAGAAAGCGCGTGGACTTCGCCAGTAGATCTCAAGAGAATATTCAGAGGAATAATTACCCTTTGCTCAGAGGGGCACGTGGCGAGAGTACATTGGTGCAGAGCGATAGTGGCGATAACCACATCTGACACACACACACACACTGTGTGTGTACGGATGGACAGTGCTGGGAGGACAGCTCACCAGATCCGGGCAGCTCCTAGGGCAGGTATCTCACTCCTATATATATAGGAGTGAGCCTTTCTTGTTACTTACGATTTATCCATTTCTTACTTTGGAGAATTGAGTGAGATATATACTGACTTAAGCATCGGAGGCTCTTCACCGGAAAACCTCCCGGTGTGAGAGTTCTTTGCAGGTACGCGGCGTTCTACCGGCGAGGAGGAGGAAGACGAGCCGATTTCAAGCCGGTCGGAGTGTTTTGTGTTACTAATAATATACATTATATATTTATTCATAAATTTAATTATAATATAAACAATTTTATGCGACCACATATAATAAGAATTTATGTAATGATATATTTGTATTAGTTAATATGTATATGAATACATAATTTATTAATTTATTATATAATACATATGAGTGTAACAATACAAAAATATATTTATTAAAATATAGTATATATTTTTGAATAAATAAAGTACTTTTATTATTATCATAAATAAAAAAGTAACATTAATATAAATATTATTTTTTTATATAAAATAGTGATTAATAAATGTCATTTCATTCAGATCTTATTATTTCTGTATACCAAGCATATCAATAAAAAAACTTGTTTCATTTCTTTCCTACATTCATTCATCCTTCAACTAATTTTTTTCCTATCAAATTCTATTCCAGTATATCAATCATGCCATTAAAGACTGATTGAGAAAATGAAAAGAGGTTTAGAGATTTATGTGGAACTCACCCTTAATTGTAATAACTTTATTTTAAATATTATTTTAATACAAATTCAAAATTTTCACTTAAACCAACTTAATATTTTTTTTTTTAAAATTAACTATGATTAATTAAAAAATCAATCAAATCCAAATTAAATCATATCCAATCACCACCAAGATATCCCATAAAAAACTTATATCCAACGACACACTCATTATTGAGCAATTGTAGATCTCCCCAAACGTGCCCCAACAGCAGGTGTCTGGATAAGATCTGTCGTGGGCCACCACTGACATACGACTACCCAATAAGCCATGCACATAGTAACTATTACCACTTTTTCTTTTCTTCAAAACAGTAGAACCAAAGAATTACTACTGCTGTAAGTCTGTACTGCACTAACATTGCAATCGGCAAATTGCAATCGGGTCCCTGCTTTTGTACTTTCCTGCGTTGTCCCACACCAACCATGGTCTCTGTGAAGACTTCTTTTCCAACTCATTTTCTCCCACATTTTGCAACTTTTTTTAACCACATTTGTTCTGTATGATAGCTACAACCTCTTCTCTATCGGCTATAATTTCTGGGAAGCTTCGGAAAACAAAATAGGTAAAAAACTTGAAATATTATTCCTCAACTAACCTTCTATTTATGATGCAATGGTCTAAACTCTAAAATAGCGTTGGGTTGCTGAATATTGGATTCTTATGCTCTTTCAAATACCCTTTTCTGGTTTAGGGCCATATTCTTTATATATATATATATATATATATAATATAGCCACATAAGTATAACCCGGTCCAGAAGATCCTTACTCAACCAATGAACCACTCGAATTACCCTCATGTCGACATGAGTCCTTCGACATGCCCCAATCGACTTCCCTAAGGACGATTCTATTAAGAGCAATCAAGAAGAAGCAGAGATGGGTCTAGTCGACCTTAACCTATCGACTTTCACTAATCGACATCACTAAGAAGAGGAACAGCGAGAGTACGGCTCTCGGGCTCCCAGGAGTCGACTGAACTAAGACGACTCTCTGAGGACGACTTCGCCTCACAGAACCAGTCGAGCGTAGCTTCCGAACCCGCACGTATCCACGAGTCGACTTCTATGATCTCGAAGTCGACCTCGAATACCTCGAGTAACAAAGATAGGATGACGATTCATCATACTTGCAATATACTCGAAATCCTACATATCATGACAGATAAGAAGGAATCTTGCGGTGACTCAGCACTAAGGGGAGACGAATCGACCAGGGCATTTTGGACCTTCTAGGTCCACCGATTGGGGTACTTTGGGCACTTCACGTAAGTATTCACTCCTATATAAAGGAGATGAGGTAACTAAACCCCAACTCTGACTCACTCTCACTTTCCCCCATAGCTGCTGCGCAGCCCTTCTTCATCACTCTTATACTGACTTGAGCGTCGGAGGCTCTACGCCGGAAACACCTCCGGCGTTGAGTTTTTGCAGGTATTCTTGCGGTCTAGCAACGGTTTAAAGACGGTTCAAGCAGATCTGAGCTCACAACCACCGGTTTACTCCAGATCCAGAAGTAGACCCATCATTTGGCGCCGTCTGTGGGGAGTTCTTGAAGGAAGGAAGAGCTTCACACCCAGTTCCGATCTGCTTGACAATGGCGGAGAAGGAGAGCTTGCAGAGGAACCTAAACGAGGACTTCAGAGGGGCGTGGATGGACAAGAGGCCACCACCACTTCCCACTACCAAACACTCCGTAGTTCAGATGACGGGAATGCCGCCGTTCGGAGGACTTCCACCACCCGGGCTGACTTTGGGCGGAGAGACGCCTGTTACTCCAACCGGCGTGAAGTTGCAGGTGTTGACCCAGATAGGGACAAGTCAAAACCCTAATCCAGGAGGGGAGAAGGAACAAACGGAGATGTCTCGGCGTGAAGGAAAACAGATACAGGAGATGCAGGACCAAATCCAACCCCAGGTCGAAGAGCAGACCTTGACGATGACGAGAAGCGAGATGCAGAAGATGATCGCTGAGGCTGTAGCGGCCCAGATGAAGCAAATGGCGCAGGTCGAGCAGCAGCCTCGAGCCGAGAATCCACCTCGAGTCGAGCAGCAGCCTCGAGTCGAGCAGCCCCGCGTTGAGTATCAGCCTCGAATCGAACAGCAGCCTCGTGTCGAGCAACAAGCCCAGTCGAATGTGCAACAGAATAGGAGGGTAGACGAGGAAGAATCCTCCGTTCGAACTATCAATCCGCAGGCGAGGGACGAAACGTTAGAGCAACTGCTGGCGCAGGTTCGCGACTTGCAAGCTAGAGTCGACGGGAGAAAGAGCAGGGGAACCAAAGAACATCCATTCGCACAGCAGATCCTAAGAGCCGACTTACCCAAAGGCTTCAGGGAGCTAAACATATGGTATGACGGTACCACAGATCCATCTCGACATTTGAGGAGTTTTGAGAATATGGCCGTGCTTCATCGTTACAGCGACCCAGTACAGTGCCGCGCCTTCCTGACGACTTTGACGGGGTCGGCCCAAGACTGGTTCCATCAACTGCCAGCGGGGTCGATTCGGGACTTTGATGGGTTCAGCTCGAGTTTCCTTAATCAATTCGCAAGTGTGAGGGTGCAGGAGAAGTCTTACCTCTCGTTAATAAGCATGCAACAGAAGAAAGGCGAGTCATTGCGGGAATATGTGGCGAGATTTACCAAGGCATGTGTCGAGTGCCCAACAGCGACAGAGGAAATTAAGTCGGGAGGGTTGACGAGAGGACTGCTGCCAGGATTGTGTAAGAACTCCTTGGCCAAACGACCCGGTAGGAGTTTCGACGATGTGCTGGGAAGATGTGCCAAATACATGAACGTTGAGGAGGCAGAGGCCGACTACTTGCAGAGCATGAAGATGACTCAAACTGACAGTCGAGACGACAGAAAGGAAAAGAAGTCGACAGGAGATAGGAGAGGATCCCCAAGAGCTGATAGGGGTGAAGGTAGGTCTAGAGGATGTAGACCAACTCAATACACACCTTTGTCGGCTCCCCATGCGAGAATTTTGGAGGTTATGGAGAGGGAAATCCGCGACGATGTGGTGAGATGGCCGCGGACGAGGAAAGATGGACCTTTGAAGCCCAAAAGCAACTTATACTGCCGATTCCACAAAGACTATGGGCACAATACTGACGACTGTCGACACCTAAAAGACGAGATCGAAAGGTTGATAAAGGCGGGTCACCTGAAGGAGTTTATATATAAGGACCGGGAGAGGACGAATAGGAGACGAGAACGGAGTAAGAGTCCTCGCAAGAGGGCGAGATCGCCGGAAAAGGAAGAACTCCCACCAAAAAGAGGAGTCATTAACATGATCTTTGGAGGATCGACTGATGGAGACTCCAATCGAGCGAGAAAGGCCTATGCTCGGGGCCGATACGCGAAAGTCGAGGTTCAACAAGTCGAGGAGAGTGGGCCAGTGATGAATTTTGGACCGGCGGATGTTGGAGAAGTCGAGAGGCCGCATAACGATGCCCTGATGATAACAGCGCAGATATCGGGGTACGAAGTGCAGAGGGTGTTTGTCGACACCGGAAGTTCTGTGAACGTAATTTTCTACGACTGCCTCAGAAGGATGGAGCTGGACATTGAACCAACGCCCCTACATACATCACTTTTCGGATTCAATGGCTCAGAAGTCGCTCCCCTAGGAGAAACCATGCTCGCTGTCGTCCTAGGGGAAGGTGACTTGAGGAAAGTCAAAATGGTGAGATTTGTCGTGGTTGATGTCGAGTCGGCTTATAACGTGATTCTGGGAAGACCAGCGCTCAATGCATTTCAAGCAGTGGTGTCGACCTATCATATGAAGCTAAAGTTTCCCGTAGGAGATCGGGTGGGAGAAGCTCGAGGAGATCAGAAGTTGTCAAGAACATGCTACCAAATCGCAGTCAAAACCAATCAGCGAGCTGAGGTCAAGGAGGGCAAGAAGCCGATGGCGAGCGAGAAAAGGCCGAGGGGGAGTGACCTCGAGCCTCATGGAGAATTGATGGAGATTCAAATTGGAGAATCGAAAGAACAAACCACCAAAGTCGGGAGAGAATTAGAAGACGAATTGCGAGAACAATTGGTGGGATTGTTGAAAGAATTCAGGGATATATTCGCTTTCTCACCGGAAGAACTAACCGGAATCGACCCAGAAGTGATGGAGCACAAACTCAATGTCGACCCCCTCAGAAAACCTGTGAAGCAGCGACTCGGGCACCACGGCGCTGAAATCGACAGAGCAATCGAAGTCGAGGTGGACAAGTTGCTGAAGGCCAAACATATCAAGGAGATCCAATTCCCCGAATGGATATCTAACACAGTTATGGTGAGGAAGGCGTTGGACAAGTGGCGTATGTGTATCGACTTTCGCGACTTAAACCTGGCATGTCCTAAAGATCATTATCCTTTGCCGAGAATTGACCAGCTAGTCGACTCCACGGCTGGTTGCGAGTTGCTGAGCATGATGGACGCATCTCAGGGATATCATCAAATCCCTCTGGCGCCGGAAGACCAGAGTAAAGTAAGTTTCGTGACGAGTAAGGGGACGTATTGTTACGTTGTCATGCCCTTTGGCCTCAAGAATGCAGGAGCAACCTACCAACGATTGATGGATCGAATGTTCAAACCTCAAATCGGCCGGAACATGGAAGTATACGTTGATGATATCCTGGTCAAGAGTAAATCCTCGACTTCACACCCAGACGACTTAAGGGAAACCTTCAATACCCTTAGGGCGTTCGGGATGAAGTTGAACCCAAACAAGTGTGCTTTTGGAGTAAAGGCGGGGCGATTTCTTGGCTACGTGGTCACGGAACGAGGCATCGAGGTGAACCAAGAAAAAGTGAAGGCCATACTCGACATGACTCCACCACGAAACGTTAGAGAAGTCCAAGTGTTAACAGGAAGGATAGCTGGCCTGAGCAGGTTCATTGCTCGAGCGGCAGAAAAGAGTTTCCCTTTCTTCAAGCTGCTAAAGAAGACGACGACTTTCAAGTGGAGCGATGAGGCACAGAAGGCCTTCGAAAAGCTGAAAGAATTCCTGAGTGAGCTACCCTTATTAACCAAACCAGAGCCTGGCGACGAGTTGATTCTATACATCTCAGTGGGAGAATTCGCTCTAAGTTCAGTATTGCTACGAGAAGACGGGAGTTCCCAGCAGCCGATTTATTATACGAGTCGAGTGCTCCAGGGTGCGGAGGCACGATACCCTGAAGTCGAGAAAGCTGCCTTGACGCTGGTGATAACGGCTAGGAAGCTGAGACCTTATTTTCTGAACCATACTATTGTGGTGAGAACAAACTTTCAGCTGGGAGAAACATTGGGTCGACCTACAGTCTCAGGTCGACTCGTGAAATGGGCAGTGGAGCTAAGCGAGTATTCTATCAAGTACGAGCCGAGGCGAGCTATCAAAGCGCAAGCTCTCGCTGACTTCATTCAAGAAGGAACCAAAGGAGAAG